ATTGGCCTGATGGAAGCCTCTCCTCAGTGCAAGACACATGAAAGCCTGCATGGAGTTTGCTAAAAAACACCTTCTCATATCGTACTAAACTTTTCTCTAACTTCTCAAAAAAATTCAGACTATTCATTGAATTTGTCTAAACCCACTCTTAGACCATAATCTAATCATTAAGTCGCAGCCAGGGGTTAATAATACATGGAAACAAACTAACATAAGGTGGACAGAAAACAAAATTAAATAATAGTAATACTAATTATTTTCTTCACCCTGGGCTTCCATACTGTAATGACAGGACCACTTGGGTGTGAGTTGAGCTCTAATGGCGCCTAAAAAATGCTGAACATACACTCACTGTCCAGAGTCAGCAAATCTGTGGATCCTGGGCTGTGCTAAGATTTTACTTAAATTTAGATAATTTTTTTCCCCAGAGCAAAAATTCTTTGAAAGCCACAATCCATCATCAGTGCCCCTTTGCCTCTCTCACCACCACTATCAGGTTCCTTTTCAGGCTTGGGGACAGTTATACTGTATGTTTGCATAGAGACTTTAACACCGACCAGCTTTACTTGACTGTGATAAAGAAAAAGCAGTGAGAGAAGCAGACAGATAACAGACATATGACAGGCAGATAAAGCAGACAGATCTGGACATGACTGGAGTAGTGGAGACAAACAGGCCGACTGTTTGTCGTGCTTGCATGGCAGATGGACCACCATGAAGTGTAAGGACAGAGCCAATCTGTTCCCAGGGATCCCTCCTCTTCCGCCCCCTCTTCCCATGCTTCACCGCAGTTCATAAGCACCTGTTAGACAACAAATTAACTTGATGACTGGAAAAGCCAGGGCAGTTTTATGCCTGTTTTATAATAAAGAGTTTGATTATGGGAGCTGGTATTATTTGTTCATTACTGTACTCTGCATTCTGATACCAGTGAGCAGAGGTGTGAGTGAAAGGTTGAAAAGACTGGTGTTTATTGTCTGAAAATAGAGCAAAGAGGGGATGCCAGGGTGAAAGGAAGCAGAAGAGAGGGGTGGATTACATAATAGATGGGAGAGAAGAGAAGACAGTGGAGTCATCTTTCTAAAACAGATCATACAAACCTAACAGATTTCAAGATATGGTTAATGATTAACAAGACATGTTATCTATTTTACTTGTAATTACTAATCAAACATTTTATTTATTTAGCTTAATACACTCTCCATCTGAGTGATTAGAGCATCAATCTGGCATTTAACTGTCACAATAGCTGTAATAATTGTCTGCATTTTGTGTCGTTTACTACCAGGGGCAGATCTAGAACATTTTGAACGGGGTGGGCTGGGGCACAGACTCA